GTTTAAAAATTTAAGAGTCATCTAATTATATTTATAAATAATAAGAAAGACTAAAGTATTACTAATTGAAGAAATTTTTGATAATGTTGATTTGATTTTTCAATAAAATGTGTCATAAATTAATATAAATTATATTTTAATAAGCAAAAAATGTTGATATTTAGCAAAATTCTCTAGCCATAGTTTATGACAAAAATTTATGAACCTATAAATTTATAATTATTACTTGAATTTTTTTACGATAATTCACAAGAAACGTTTTAATTATCATTGTCTGTTTCGTAATAAAAAATATATATTTAAATGTTTAAAATAAATCATGCCCTAGTTTTAATTTAGATTTAAATTTATTTTACATTTACAATAATGAAAGAAAGTAAAAAATTTAAAAATTAATTTATAAGAAGGTGTTGATTACAATAGATAACATATTTAAAAAATATCTAAATACCCTACTATTAAGACGATAAATTTAATAGAATAATAAATTATTAATATTTTTAATAATTGTAAAATGAATCAAGCTTTAATTGTTATAATTAAATTAAAGGCATAGATGGTATAAAAGCTTAATAATAAATATTATCTGTACCGTACAGGTACCTTATTTTCAGATTTTGTTTGTATATGTGTATCATAAAATATTTAAAAATTCATAGAAAAGTTAAAAAACTTCCTTGAGATTTGTCTTTTTATTAATTTTGTATTCTTCATACATTTATTGTAATATTTTTAAATATAATCTGTTGCAGATGTATTTATATATTCAATAATTATTATTAATGATCATTAACATAATCTTTTATTTATGTTCATTTTAAACATTTTATTTCATAGAAATATTTGTATCATGAATTATGATACATTATAAGTGAACATATCGAATATTTTAAATATATATTATTTATTTTTCATAATATTGCGCACAAGAATATATTTTTATATAAAAATTTGCAAATATTTTAATCTATATAAAATAAAAAAGTATATATTTAGGTGTTTTTTATTTAAATAATAGAAAAATAATTTGTGGTTATAGAATTAGAGAATGAGTAAAGATTATAATTTTATTCAAGTTCTGTTGTATTTATTTTTTAATTTTACACAACGTTATCTACACTATGTTATGTCTCTCTAATTTATTATTGACTAGTTCAATAAGAATCCATAATAAATTATAAAAGAGTTTGAAAGAATAAAAACAAATAGATATTTTAATAATTTTAGTTTAATATAATTACTTCAAAAACTATATATTTTTAAAATAATATTATGTTGTTTGAAATTCTTAAGAGGTTTATCTAAATCAAATAAAGATCTAAACTTAAATCTATTTTACATTTAAGGTAACAATCAATAGTTACCTATTCAAATGTTATAAGTACAATTCTTTTATTATTTAATTGAAAAAATATCAAAAACTTTAATTTATAATTAAATGTTTATTATACTGTTAAAATTAAATTATGTCAATTTTATTTAATATTTGGTACTACTATATTATTGATAATAAGAAAATTACATTTTTTAAATTAGTAAGCTGATTTTGATAATATAAGAGGTAATATTAATAAAAGTTTTTATATAATTTTCAATTTGATAACCAATTAATATGAAAAATAACATCATTGTCGTAATTACTCTGCATTGAATGCGCCCGTTAAAAAATTAGCAGTAAATATATTATTTTAATATTTTATATATAATTTTTAATATAAAATAGTTAATCATAGTTAGTATAATTAATTTAAAATTGGAGTTTGGTAATAAAATCCACAATATTATCAATATGATTTTACTTATATCTAGCATTATAATAGTGATAAGTTTGTAAGTAAATGGTGATTGTGCGAGGGTTTTACGTTCATCCGATTGGCTATATAAATATTCATAAATTTTATAACGAATGAAATGATATGATTCATTATAAAGATATTTAAAAATAAAATATTGTACATAATACAATTAAGTTATAGTTATTCTATAATATTAAATTTAAGACTTAATAAAATTGTTATGTTGAATAATATTTTTAATAAGAAAACTTTTGATATGATTGCATTTTACGATTATCTTCTCGTTTAATTGTGTTATTAAAGTAATACTTAAAAACTTTATGAAAAAAAGAAAGCAAATATTTTTATAAATATATGCGTTTTGAAAAAATATAGTATTGGTTTAGCATCAAGCTATTAATAAAGCTATTAAAAAACTAAGCTATTAAAAAAATATATAAAAAAAAATTTTAATTTTCAATTTTTGACAAAAAAGCATTCGACTTACAAAGTTATAAATATTAGTATGTATTAAGTTGCTTCTAACTTAGTAATTTATTTTGCTACCAATGAATTCTTTTTTCATAACCTACGTAATAATAACAATACTGTAACAATATTGTAAAGATTTAATAATAAATCTTTAAGTGACAACTATTTAAGCTGAAGCAAAGGTTTCCTATGTAACCTTTTTTCTTATTATCATTCATTAATGCGCGATTACTATTGTGTTAAATATTAATTTCTGCACATACTTTTACGTTTCGTGAATCAATACTAAAATATCTCAACTTTTCATCATGAGAATTTTAATATTTATTTTTATCTACTCTTTAAATGTTGTTCGTTCATATTTAAATAATAGAATAATATAATCTGTATCAATATTACATCATAAGTAACTTATAAAGCTGTATTAGAAAGATTTTCCGTTAAGCCTAAATATTATAAAATAATAAATTAAAATTGAATACATTAATTACTTATTTTTATAATAAAATTAGAATATGATCAAACTACAAATTTTTTACTTTAAAAATAAAGATATTGAATATTTATATTTAATTATACAAATCCACTTTAAATTCGCGCAACAAATATCTAATAAAATTTTAATATAATTCCTTATTCTTTATTGTATCTTGAAAACATGTTAGAACAATATAATACTTTAGAGTGAATCAGTAGAATTAATAATTAATGTATCATTATATTTTATCTGATCATACGTATATGTAATCTTTTATTCATATTAAATGTTAATCGCATGTTCAGTAAAAGATATAGAAATATTTTCTTTTTTGTGAGTTAGATTACCATAGGTATTCATTGTTTTAAAAGAAATTCATAAATAATTACATACAGAAAAAACTGTATTTTTGTTGGCCTATAGATTTATAACTATAATATGTCAATTAAATTTTATTCAATAATAAAAATATTATAACATCTACTGGCAGAATAGAAAAATCATTGTTAAATTATTTCCAGAATATAGCATATTTTCAAATATTAATCTTTTTGTCGAAAAAAATATTAAATGTTGAATAAGATATGCACTTGTCATTAAAATACGTATCTTGAAGCTTCTTAAACTATAATTTTCATTTGAGATATGGCAGTAATATATAATATAAATTTGATAATAAATGTATTGTAATATATGTTCCATAAAATGTCTTCACCACTTACATTTTTCGTCTGTTATATTGTAAATATATCAAATCTAATATACATGTTAATAATGGCATTAATAAATTAAATACATAAATACTTTAATATAGTAAAAAACAAACATGACATACGAAAGATTGATGATTATGTGTAAAATATTATTTAATAAATAATACTAGAGTAGATATATTTCACATTATTTCGAAGTTGCTGACCTATATCTACATATTTACATTTCTTTTAAAAAGGAATTAAAAATAATAGTTACATAACACAATAACAATCTTGTTATAAATTAATTGAAAAGTACGATCAACAATGATTCAAGCTTGAATCAATTAAATATCATTTTAATACAATATGAATATTAAAAAATAACGCCTGTATTTTTCTATTGGCATATTCTTTTCTTACGGTCTTTTCATTTTAATCTTCTATTCAAATTCTTAAGAACATACATATCATTATGTGAGCAAATATGCAACATTTTGCGAAGGTTCTTATAATCCTAAAATCTCTTTAAAATGTTTGTTGAAGATACTGACAATAATAGCTGCCTTATTTTCTGTCTCTCTCTCTCTCTCTCTCTCTCTCTCTCTCTCTCATACATAATTACACATCGTGTGCATTTATGTAAAATGCGCATCCACAAATATATACACTCACACATACAGAAAGCAAAGTGGATGCTATATTTCAATAATCTCCTACATCAAAAATATATTTTTGTCGTGTACATTAAAATATGATATTAATTTTTTAAACACCCGTGTGATTAAATATATACGAAACATTGCTGTCTTGATGAATTGGAGGCCCATGAAATGGTCGCCTTGTTGATGAATTATTATTGTTTACATAATATGACGATTTACGCATTGAAGTTGAAGACGACATCATCGCTACAGTTTCGTAGTACCGTAACTTGCCACAACATTGGCCTGACTTTAGTATAGCCATAAAGCCTCGGCGATATTTTTTATTAAAGAAGGCATAAAGAATAGGATTAATACAGGAATTACTTGAGCCTAGCCACTGAGCAATTGGTGTTGCGATTGGTAGTAATTCATCTTCCCATACAGCTATTTTTCCTATAATAAGCATATACTTATTTATAGATAAATTAAATAACAAAGATAAAAAAATTACAAAAATCATGAATATAACTTGACTTAATATTATAAAAATTTCAAAAGAATGAAATTTTAATTGTTTTTGATATTTGTTCGGTATTACCCAATATTTTCTTAGATTATTTGTTTTGGTTTGGCGAATGTTGGTTTTTTTATTTTTGCGAATTATTAATAATTTCTCTCTTAGTTTATTTTTATATTTTTATAAACATTATAAATTGAATATATTTTAACCTAATTAATTTTTTGTTGTTGTTAATCATAAGAGTTTCTTTATTTTAAAATCATGTAAAGCATGGTTTATATATGAAAATTTTGTTTACTGCTTAAGAGATAAAATTATTGATACATACAGTTTGATGAACAAATTTATTATTCATTATTCTCAAAATATAACATTTTTATTATTATAAAAAAATTAACTGAAAAGATGACAAACATTTGAAGATTATTGAAAATAATTTACACGAATTTATAAAATATTACAAGTGGCTAATAAAATTATTTATTTAAAAATTATTTTATTATGAAAGTTTTATAAATCAAGAATGTGTAATCAATATTATTTGAAATAAAGTTTCTATTCAACACCATTACCTGTTATATCTTCATTGTATAATAAATAGTATTATATCTTATTGAAATGATCACTTATCAAATAAATCTTTCACAATCTAATAAATCAATAAAATATCTACAACAGTTTAAACAGTATAATCTATTCAAGATACTACATCTATAGTTAAAAAAAACAATTATATGGAATATTTATTTTTAAAATTAATTAAAGGAATTTAATTCTGATTTAATTTAACATTATTTGAAATTATATAACTATCTTAATTAAAAAATTTACAATTCTTATAATTGTATCTTAATTCGTAATCAATATTTTATGTAAGAAACAAATATTTTTAAAAAGTATTTAATAAATTATTAAACTTACCACCTAGTTTAATACGAGCAAAAATGATGTAGAGTGGCAGCCAAGACAAAACAAAGAGAATAACAACAACAATAAGCATCTTTACGACTTTGACCTTGGATTTTTGTTGAAGTCGCTCCATTTGATCGTCTTTAGTGTCGCTCGGTATATGGCGCCGCCACACTTTAATCCATATGAGTATATAACAAAGAGATATGAGTATCATGGGAAGAACGTAGCAAAGCATGAGGTTGCCGATGAGGAAGAAAAGTGAACCATCTTGGGGACGTGGCCACATCTCTAAGCAAAGTTTCAAATCCGGTTCATCTTTATAGATGGAGACAAGGTCAAAAAACAGTAACCACGGAGACGTTGCTGTAAGGGCAATGAACCAGATGATAATAATCATCATACGCGCACGACGTTTTGTTATTTGGCATTTTAATGGCCACCAGATTGCTAAAAATCTGAAAATTTAATTACATAATTTGTTAATTAATCTTAAAATATTTTATAAAATAGCAGTTTATTCTTAAGATCGTGATGAATATTGTACACTCCTTTGCTTTGTACTACATATTGATTAAATTAGTTTTATGATTCTTTTTTTTTACATAAAGATATAAAATTATTTGAAATTACAAAATTAAAGAAATTGAACTATAGTTATAAATTAATTAAAAAATATTAATATCCAAATGAAATTATTATATTTTTAAATTAAATCAATTATAACAAAAATATAATGTGTCAGTAAAATTTTATAAAAATTAAACATTTTTCAATTTGTGAATTTTGTAATAATATATATATATATATATATATATATATATATATTATTGCAAATATATAATATATATATATATGTGTGTGCATATGTGCGTGCGTGCGCGCGCGCGTGCGTGTGTTACTAAGCTATAAAAGTACTTCACGTAAGTTTTATTCAGCGCTCATTAGTGCTGTAATATTAATTCGTGTCATATATACATTTTTTATGTTTATTACTTTGCCATTTTAATCTTTCTTTATCGTTCTCTAATAATGTTTATAATTAATGTTTGTAAAATTTATAAAGTCTATCGTATATTTATTTTTTAATGCAAGTTTCTAAATATTAAATCTTTATTATAAAGTATAATAATTGTTTTTAAATAAAAATATTTATGGTGCTATATGAAATGTGAAAATATATAATTTATAATTTTATCAAAAATTTTCATAATTAATATCGATATTTATTGAATTGAATTAATATTGATAGATGAAATAAAAAATTATATAATTTAAATTATATTTATATAATACATATTTATATAATTAATTATATATAAAGTATGTCTAATTAATATAGTTCTTAACTAAATATTAATAATAATATTGCATTTTAAATGTATCCTGGTGCACATATATATAAAAGTTGTAGATTATTAAGTATAATACTTTCACAAATAACACAGTTTCACTTCAATAAAATTGTATTGATGTATGATATACGTACCTGCAAAGATACATACATATGCATGTATACATATATAATTATACGCACATTTATTCTTTCTTATTAATTCTTTTATGATTATTGTATTATATTATCTTTAAAATATTGTGTGATTTTATAAGCACGAAGAAAATAATATTTTCTAATACTTCTCAAAATATCATGCATATATTTTTAACTGAAGAATATTAAAACTAATATCTGGATTTAAATATTTATAATTTATACATAAAACGGATAAATAACAGGTATTATTATATTTTATTATATTAATATTATTTTAGATCTAAATATTAAAAAATAATAACACTTTATATACAAAATGATGGATTATACAAAGATTCTGTATGAATGAAAATATTGTATATCAAATAGCATCAATGGTGTTGCTTTAGCATCATATATTTAATTAAATTACAAGAACTACATATTGTTGAATAGTAGAGATTTGTATTGTCATAAGTTGTGTTCCTCAATAAGATTGCAAAAAAAAAAAAAAAATTTATTACATCTAGATACTTACGTGAATCAACGAATATTATTTCAAGTATTTAAAGAAAATTATTGATTTTACTAACTATCGCTTATAATTTAAGTCTTTTTATATAATGAAACAAAAGAATTTATGTTACTTTTCTTCATTTTTTACTTAAAAATTCTAAATTAATATTATAAATTATTCTTCAAATGAAAGTTATTATTAAATTCAATTATTATAAAGTGAAATCATTGATTCTATTAAAATAAGTTATTTTCTATTAAAATTTAATTAAAAGACATATTTTTCTAGAGTACAAGGATTCAAATGAAAGTAACAGAAAATTGCCAAAAATTGACACGATAACAGATTATTTTATACATTACTACATTACAATAGAATAATATTAAGATAACAATGATAAAAAATTGAAAATAATGAATATAGTCAATTATATATAGAAAAATAAATAAATATTCTTAAATATATGTGAAAGATAGAACTGTATATAATAATAACTTATATATAATAAGCAGAGAATTCAAATTATATAAATATAACAGCATTACAGTTATATATAATTTCAAAAAGGTTTTATAACTAATAAAATAACAAATTCAATTAAATACTGGAAATAATAAATGTATTTATTTAGAAAACTTATAATTAAAATAATTTAAAAGAATTACTTCTAATTTAAAATAAACTTATATAATATTGAATTAAATAATTTAATAGACTTACTTATAACATTAAAGTAAAAAAAAAGCGTGTAGTTAATTTGATACATTTCAATCCTAAGCACCTAATAATTGATATTTAACTTAGAAAATTAATCCAGACATGTATTTATAAATAAAGGATTGAAAGTTAGTAAATTATTTTCTGATTATATTCAGCTTAAAAATACATTAGGAAATAGTGTCAGTTGTTGGAACTGCGTTTTTTACTATGTTATTTAAGGAATAATAAATAGCAAGGTGTGATTATGAAACCTAACAAAATTTTTAATGTCTCATAGTAAAAAAAATCACTTCTTAAAGAATTTAAGAAAATTAACTCAAAATCTAGAATACTTAATTAAGATTTTTTAAAGAATTAATCGATGAGAAGTTTCAAATTAACTAAAATCTCAATATAAAATAGAAAATAGTAGAATACTACAATTGCAGCTGGATATTTTTAGAAAATATGTCAAATAAAAAAAGCAATGAGGAATATGCATTATGCATATTGCAAATGAATTTTGAAAAGAGAAAATGCAAACTCAGAAATAATAATAAAGTAATTAGAAAGGAAGGGCACGTATACAGCGTAAATTTTCGTTGGTGTATAGTAATAGGAAATCCTGAATCTTTAATAAATTCTTATTAAAAAAGATTGTATATTAATAAATTTGTAGAATCTACTTTCAAACAATTGTCATAAATTTAATAGCCAATTTTTATAATCATATATAATATACAGTAGAAATATATTTAAAAATATTTCTGATGCAATACACTTAATAAAAATTATATTGTAATTTATTAATAATCGAATATTTATAATTAATACAATAATCTTTGTTTAAATTACATATTAATGTATTAAATTTAATATATATATAATTATATATAATTAATTAATTATATATAATTATATATATAAATATAATATACATAGCTTCACTAAATGTTCCGAATAAATTCAATTAAATTACAATGTAATAATAACACAACAGTGCAGGTATAAGATATTTATTAGATTGATTTATTAGCATATATAGTATATAATTTATTCGAATTTATTTGAAATAATGCTATTTAAATTTTTTATAAAAAAGCATTAATAATTTTAGTCGTATAGTCTATGTTGTTTATCATATAAAATTATTACTATACTGTATGCATATAGTTTGATTTAATCATAATTTTACTTCATCATAATTCTCATTATAAACTATTTCATGTGAAACTATTAATGATTTATAAGTTATATTAAAAATTATTTTAAATATACCAAATTTAATAATAGATCATTTTCATTACTTATTGAAATATATACATAAATAATATTTATTTTAAATTTGAAATAATTAGAATGAAATTACGATACTATATAAATTACTTGAATTTTATCCTTTTACTATATAGATAAACCGTATGCATAAAAAAACAAACATAGTTAATTTTTAAATTAAGATTTTAGAAAAGCGATTTAATACATTATTTTTAATAAATATCAATTAAATACTATATTACACAAATAAATAAATATTTTTAAATATGATGATTATGAGCATAATCAATTTTTTTTTAATATTTTCAATTATTTATAATTAAGTGATTTTATACCTTAATACGAATATTTCGTTTTTTTAACGATGAATCAATATAAATGATCGATATTAAAGGAGTAGTATAAAAAGTAATTCTATATTCATGTTGCAATTTTCGAGTATGAGTATTTATTTAACTAAAAAATATGAATTTATTAATTATGTAGATATTTCGTGTTAAAATACAAATAATAATTTATAATATTACAAATTAATCATTATTCTCATTTTGTATTTAGTTTATTAGCTATTTTTATAATTAATTCGTAATTGGAAGAAAATATGTTAATGAAATATTTATTAATTTAATTATTTCTTATAAATTTCTTTAAATAAATTACATAAACAAATTTTTAAATAATGAAGTAACTACATTTAATCCTGTTCATTATGTAGATAAATATATCCTTAAATATCTCATATGAAAGAACACGGCAAAGGAGTGAATATTTATCTTCGTTTATCGATTCTTCGAATTTTTATCATTATATTAGCAAAAATACTTCTATTTTAATAAAAAGTGTTTACTCTTACATATACCAGTATTAAAAATTGAAAATGAACTCAGTCGATGTCTATGTAAAAATATTTTGTGTCGATATACAATAGTGAGTTAGGTACATTAAAAATACAAATAACTTACTTGAAAAGAAAACTAATAATATTTTTTATACGTAGTTTTAAAAATTATATAATTACTAAAAAAATAAAGTAATACTATATTAAATAATGTTTAATTATGTCAAGTCTTGAATACTTAGAACCTCATAAAAACAGTTATTCGTAAAAAGAAATTGAATAAATTTGAAGCAAAAGAAATTTAACAGCATATAATGTACTGTAAATATTAATAAATTAATATTTTTGATAAGGTTACAAAATGCGAAACCATGCTATGTATGAAAAATAAAAATCTATAATTTACAAAATAAATTTTTTTATTTACGAAAGTTGTTTTGATTAATAAGGAATTTGAATAATAATTGTTCTAAAGAAGTATTTGAGCTTATAATTTTAATAATAAAACACTATGAAGTAAAAATCCTATAAACCATATATACAAAGATCATTTATGAAATCCCATGAAAATATTTATACTGATTCATGAAATTTCTTTTATTAAATAGTAACTGTATTAAACAATATTGAACTGATAATTTTTATTGATAAATTTTTTT